AGAATTTATTTCATATTACTTTCTTATCCTGTTCGCCTTCCATAAAGGAACACAAAAAAGTGGTTGTCTTCTGGGCTGTAGAGCCGTGTAGTCTGGCAGAAGTTTTTAGACGTTTCGGAGGTACTTGCTGCCTCCGTAATCAGGGCGGTGAGCAACTACAAGACAGCCATCTTCATGAACAATCTCAGTCAAGGTAGTTTGTCTATGAGAGAGGCGACGTTCTAACTGGGTCAAAAAGTTGGCTACACGAATTAAAACATGCTCATATAAATTGTTGGATGAAATGCAACTATGGCCGATGGTCTGGCGTCGCGACCTGCACATATTACTTCGAACTGTCTCTGAGTACGCAGAGTTTTTCGATTGTTGGATTAATGTTTGCCTTTAACGTCGTACAAGAAACCCTTGAACAACTCGATTAATTAATTCATCACGCCATTAATGATAATCTAACAAAGATGTTACTGGCGAAACAAGCAGGGCTGTGTATTTTTCTGGCCGTACGATCCGGTCGAATTCGCCATGCACTCTCCGGTTTACCGTGAGTCTTCGTCCGGTAAATAGAGCTCGGATTTCATAACTGACCTTTACTACAATCACTACAGGAAAATGTTGCGACTGTAATTTAAGCAGGTCCCCGATCGCTTATTTTTACGTCATTAACATGTTATCACATACAGTTATCCTAACATTCAAGTGTCGTGTAATAAGGAAAATGCCAAGAATGAAACTTGAATAATATAATATACGTTAACCTCTGAATTGCATCCATGCTCCCTGCATGGCATGCGTTTCAGCACAGGAAGTTCCATGTATTCGCCTTTATTCTTAAAAATTAAAAAGAAAAGGTTTCAGCCAAATTTTTTGTTGTTGTTGTTCCTAAACTGTAACATTCGCGGGCGAGTTCACAACATTCCAATTAAGATTCTACATGCAAGGTTGCAGTGCAGTTCCAACATGACGAAAAGTTTCGAGTTCATCAAAATAAATACTAATTAAATATTTAAAGTTTGTTGTGCTTTCCTATTGTAATTTGCTGCTGTATCATATTAATTCTACGTTGTTTCAGACAGCGGTACACCGGATGTGTAGTCTTATCAAACTTGTTCCTTCCTGTGAAATGTGGTTGAACTGAAGTCGTGCCACATTATTTTTAACGAGCTCTCTCATCGAGTTAGATGTCAAGTTTTTAGATTATTGTTACTGATACCGTAACAGATTAGCGCTTATGAAAGCATGTTATGCAATTTATTTCTTCTAACAAGTAAGCTCAGATTGCTTTACTGAATTATGTTCAGTTCTCTGTGAAAAGAATATCTGTTAATGAACGTGAAAATGATTTTTGCTGTAGTAGCTCGGGGCGTCATTTGGAGCGATGACGTCAATCGATGACGTCAGCACCAAGTGGATTGGGGCGACAACAGAAACCTGTTTCGACAGTGGTCGCGGGTCGTCGATGTCGGATGTACAATGTTTTATTCGTGGTCAGAATAATTGTATTTAAATAACGGCTAGAAATTTTATTTGCCTTGATCTAGATTCCGTTCATAATACTATTGAACATGATACATGTTGCCTTTGCCACTATTAAACTTTTGGAGTCAATAAATATTACATGCCAGGACGCCAGTAAATGAACATCGTTTATTCAGATTTCAGGAAGAATTGATTTGTTTTGTATCGTTTTCTACAGGAAGACGTGTTGCTGAGCCGGATATCTCACGAAAACTTGTTCATATATTGCGCCAATAACATCCCACATGGTTGTTGCATAATCATGTAGTTCTGGTAATTTTGTCACTACACCTGGACACCATTGGAAAGAAAATAGAAATTAAATATTGAATAATGATTTTCAATGTTCCATGTTTTTTTCTGAGCCATAATGGGATGCTGTCGTTATTATCAAAGTATACACAACGCTTACTGCGTAACATGCAATGGACTGACTCATCTACAACCGCATTACTACTTTCGAGCTTGCAAAATTACCAAGCCACTAGTTCTA